CCCCCCCAACACCCCGCACAGCCCATGGCATCGCATCTCCCTCTCCAGCACGGAGCGGGCTCCGGCTGGCAGCACTGCTCCTGGGAGCGCAGCGAGCCAGCCGAGCAGTAGCCCCTGGCAGCCGTAGGAGAGCAGCGGCTCATTTCCAGAGTCATTACGGTCTGAAAAGGGTCCCATCAGGTATTCCGCCCATTCAGCACATTTATTTTCCCAAACCACAGCGGGGATTTGTGATTCCAGGCTCAATATTAGCAAGAGCTGCACGCCGGTGGCGCCCGGCCGGGAGCTCGCTGCCTGGGCAGGCAGGACGCCGCTGGGAAGAGGCCCTGCTCGCAAGCCGCAGGCAGCGAGCGGGCAGCCCCCCGCTCGCCTGGCCATAGCCATGCCTCGGGAGTGGCACCGCTCGGTGTGTCTGTGTGCACACACACGCGTATGCAATGCTGGCAGCCTCCGTGATTCACATGCATCCCAGCGCCAATCCCCCCCAAACGCAGGAGGGCTCCCCTATGTGCAAAGGGGTCTCAGCACCCCCCCATCCACTCTCGCTGTGCAAAGCACCCTGCGACACAGCACATCAGCCCAGGGGGAAGGGCAGGCTGGAGCGGGGCTCTACACCACCACTTTCCCCCTGCCCACTGCACACCCACCCCGGGGACCGCTGAGCCCCGCTCCCCCCGCCCTGGCTCCTGCCTGCGAGCCCCTCCGGCACGGACCTGCCGGCAGCCTGCTCCTGCGGCGCAGAGCCCTACCGAGAGCTCCCACGGAGGATCCTCTCTCTCTCTCCATGTGAAAATTGGAGGGAAACTCAAACAGACAGAGATGCAAACTTCAGCAGCCGGAGCGAGCCAGGGAGCCCTGCTCCGGCGAGGTGCGGCAGGGTGGGAGCCCCCGGCGCTGGCGGGGGCCCCCGGGGAAGCTGAGCCAGGCGTGCACTCACCACAGTGAAATCGCGGGAGGAGCAGTTCTCGCCGCTGAAGTTGCAGCTCTTGAGCATGTCGTCAAGCTGGTGGCCGGTGCGGTTGACAATGTCGGCCATGTCGGGGTCAGGGTAGAGCAGGTCCGTGGCCTTGTGGCCATCCCGGTCCTTGGGGGGCAGCCCAGTCATGTTGGCCAAGTGGAAGATGTCAGCGTCGGTGAGTGCCGAGTGGCGGTAGCGGTTGATGTTGCAGATGGTGATGGCGGGGAAGACCATCTCACGGATGGCCTCCTCGTCCAGGGCCATGACGTGGGGGTGCTCCAGGTAGAGCAGTGCCGACTTGGCCGCCTGGTAGAGGAAGAAGGCGAGCGAGGCCAGGAAGGCAAACGCCCAGAGGGTCTGGCGCACGCCCAGCCGCCCCGACCTGCAGATGTGTCCCAGGCCGTGCAGCGTGCTGGTGCTGGCGAAGGCGGCCAGGTCCCGGGAGCGGGGCCGGGCGGGCTCCTCAATCAGGCTCTCCTTATCCCCTTCTTCTTTCTCCTTCTGCTTCTCATCCTCCTCGGCAAATTTGATTTTACACACGATCTCAATCGGCATCTGCCCCGCGCGGCCGGTGTGCCCAGCCAGCGAGCTGCACCCTGGCACGGGCACCGGCTGAGAGCCCGGCCAGGCGCTGGGAAGGGGCTCGGGTCCCCCCCAAGCCCCAGCACGGCGCCGGGAGGGCCGAGCCGTCTCGGGAGGGAAGCGCAGCCCCTCTCAGCAGCTCCGAGCCGCCGCTTCCCTCTTGCCTCACTAGTCGATCGTCTCCTTGTGCCTTCGCTTATCAGCACAAATACAGCTGTCCAAAACCCCTCTCTCTCCTCTCCCTCGCTCTGTCTCTCTGCCTCTCTCCTTCGCTCCTCTCTGGTTAAGACCCCAGCAGACACAGGCAGCATTTAGGCATCATGTGCTAATAAAATCCAGGGAATACTTAATAATTCAAGACATGTCAACATTATTTCATCGTCAAATAAAGAGCGAGCGCCAGAGAAAAGAGGCAGTGTGAAGGGCCCGGCGCCTCCGGGGCAGGGAGCCGCGCTGCGCCCTCCCCCCAGCCCCGGCTCCGAAG